TTATCACTTAAAATAATTTATTTTCGTATAAACTATTCAAATAAAAAATATTAAGTAGTTGACTAATTTATTAAACTATAAATAATTGACTATTTCGTTTACGCCCAAGTTAGTATTGACCCGTAAGTTATTGAGCAATTTATTAAATTATAAATAATTGAATATTTCGTTTACGTCCAAGTTAATATTGACCCGCAAGTTATGAATAATTATTTTTTAAAAAAATTTAAATAAAAAACTTTTTATTTTTTCTCGATATATTATATATCAAATTTAAACCATGCAACTAACAAAAATACAACTTTGTCAATATATTATATTCCAATTTTAACTCATGCAGCTAATAAATGTAATAGCCGCAATATTTGACTAAAATGATTATGTACATCAATTTAGGCGAGAATTTTTAGATTTTGGCCAAAAATATAACTCAACATAGTAAACACTTTAGGCGGGAAACTAAATGTGTTTTTGTTTTTTTGTTTTTTTTTTAGTTGCTATTTCAAGTAAATATCATTGTCTCTTTGTATATTAATAGATTACAACAATTATTTTTAACAATTTCACTTTCATTATGCAGATAAAAAAATAAATAAATTACTATTTCTACCTACACAAGATGAAACTTAACTTTATCGACCCACATATATAAATTTACATATATAAATGAGTGTAAAGTTATGTCATAAACAAAATATTATTAAATTAATAAATGTGTGTAAGATTATCTCATAAACAAAGTATAAATGTATATTAAATAAAATCTATTTAGAATATCATGCATTTGGTATTTGAAGAAAAGTATTACAAAAATATAATAATAGATGCGAAAAAATATTCGAATATCCAAGTATATGCAACTTTAAAAGGATGAACTGACTGCTCAATTTTTTGCATCAACATATAAATGTGGAAAATACTACAGTCCCCGTTACGGATATTCCGTCGGGATTTGTATCTGTTAAATTATCATGAAATCGTAGGGGATAATTGATCAAACGGTCACTAATCTCAACGGAATGGCTCCGTAACGAAATCGTAGCGTTTCTCATCTCAACAAGTAATAAATTAGAATATTCATAGTATAAATTAATCAATAATTTATCAAATAACGAAGTTCATGCAAAACGAGACATTATTGTAATTTGGAAGTCAACCCTTTAGACGGCCTTAGATTTTAATACAAGGCACATGAATCATGAATCATAGCTCACCAATTATTGCTGACAAATTTTCTGTCTTAAATTAGTTTATTGAGACAGCCCACAACTACATGTCATCTCATTTTCACAAACGCCTGCTCCAAACTGCAACTCCTTCATTTTTCAGAGCTGCAGAAAAAGTTACAGAAATAACAACCAGATATGGCAGCTTATGCAGCTCTAGTTTCTCTAATGAATATAATAGAGCAGATCCAGCACCATCCCCGCCCTCCGATTTCGCTCGACAAGAAACGGGTCGAATCTCTCACCGTTGGTATCACTTTCTTGGAAGACTTTCTCGAAAATTATCCCACCACTGAGGCCTTGGAAAGCCGTATTGCTAATGCAGCTTATGCGGCAGAGGACATCATCGAATTCCATGTGGTCGACCAAATCCTTCCCCCACCCACGAGCCGCGGGTCCATCTCCACATTCGACTTCAATCAGCGTCTCGAACGAGTTATGCAAGATTTCGAGACGATCAAGAGAGAGGTCGCTAACGTTAAAGAGAAATCGGCGGGGGTCGAACGTAAAATATCAATATCTTCCGGTTCGGTAAAATCCAATCTTGTGAGGCATCACATCATGGTGGGATTGGATGACATCAAGCTCGACATCTTGGATAAGCTCATCGGAGGATCGTGCGGCCGCCAAACCATACCGATTGTCGGCATGGGTGGCATAGGTAAGACCACTCTCGCTAGAAATGTTTATTCAGACTCGTGCGTTAAGCATCATTTCGATGTTCTTGCGTGGGCCACGATTTCTCAAGAATACGACGCGAAAGAAGTTCTTCTCGAGCTACTTGTTTGTCAGAAAGACAATGCAGGTAGCAAGGAGTGCATGAGCCACATGAGCGAATACGAATTAGGCGAAATGTTGTACAAGAGTTTAGTAGGTCGGAGGTATTTGATTGTACTGGACGACTTATGGAGTATCGAGGCGTGGGATAAGATGAAGTTCTTTTTTCCCGATAATGATAATCGGAGTAGGATGATGATGACAACTAGGCTGTCGAACCTGGCTTTCGAGATAACAGGTACTCATGGCTATGCGATAAGTTTGCTGGACGAGGACAAAAGTTGGGAACTACTTTGTAAAACTGTGTTTGGAAACGAACCTTGCCCAACAGAATTCGAAGAAATAGGAAAGAAGATTGCCGAAAATTGCAAAGGCCTTCCTTTATCAATCGTCGTGATCGGTGGACTCCTCGCAAAGACAAAACCGGCACAGGAACAGTACTGGCAGCACATAGAAGAGAATCTCAACTCGATCGTGAAAACAGAGGACGACGAACGCTGCTCGAAAATACTTCAAATGAGTTACGACCAATTGCCCGTTCACCTAAAGCCGTGTTTTCTCTACATGGGAGTGTACCCTGAGGACTGTGAGATTCATGTCTCTAACCTCATGAAGCTATGGGTTGCCGAGGGATTTCTAAAGCCGATCACCGGTAAAAGCCTTGAACAAGCTGCAGAAGAGTACTTCAATGAGCTCATCGACCGAAATCTCATTTTTGTCAGCAAAAGAGGATACAACTCTAAAGTAAAATACTGCAAGATCCACGATCTCCTGATGGACCTTTGCGTGAGAGAATCTCAAAAGCAGAGATTCCTCTTCGTCACAAGCCTTTACAATCGCCACATTCCGCAAAACATAAGCATCCAACGACGAGTCGTCATTCATCAAGGCACGAATCCTCAAATCGTTCACGCCTTGAAGAGATACGCACCTCTCGTCCGGTCCTTCACGCGCAAATCGTACAGCGTGGCAGAATCTTTAAATTTTAGATTAATGAGGGTGTTTAACGGGTATGACAGGCGTTCGGATTACACTGACGGTTATTATTCCCTGACGAGCAGTCAAGGATTAGTTAACTGCCGGTATATTGACAGTCTCAGTATACCGAGGCGCGACTCTCGGGTCCCACTCTTTTGGAATCTACAGACGCTAATCGTCACGTCGGGAAGCGCATCGATCGAGCCCTTGCAGATTTGGAAAATGCCTCAACTCAGACACGTGAAGTTCGACTTGCTACATCTCCCGGATCCGGGTGGAGAAAACTTCATTCTCCAGAACCTTCAAAAGCTGTCGACAGTACGAAATTTCAAGTGCGGGCAGAGAGTGGTCGAGAGGATCCCGAATATCAAGAAACTGAAATTGTTTTACGATGAGGGGGTACTCGACTGGCCGAGTTGCTGTCTTGAAAACATTGGCTGTTTCGAGAAGCTCGAGTCGCTTTCCCTCCACTTTTCTTCACGAAACAGGCCGAGCTGGGATTACTTATCCGACAACCTCGTTTTCCCGCGCTCGGTCAGCAAGCTAACCCTGTGGTGCACGGGCCTCAGGTGGGAGGACATGGCCGGGAAAATCGGGTGGCTGCCTAATCTCGAGGTTCTCAGGCTGAACGTGGATGCCTTCGTGGGCCCCGAGTGGGAGACGGCCGAGGGCCAGTTCTGCAGCCTCAAATTCTTGCTGGTCTCGTGCTGTATGGATCTCGAGAGGTGGAAGGTGGAGAGCAGCCATTTCCCCTGCCTCGAGCAGGTCGTGCTTCGGTACTTGCGGAAGCTGAAGGAGTTGCCTCGTGAAATTGGTGATATAATGACATTGAGATCGATCGAGCTGGAGTACTGTAGTGATGAGGCTGTGATTTGTGCTAGAGATATAGTTGAAGAGCAAGAGGAGCTTGGGAATGAGGAGCTGCAAGCTCGTGTAGTGCTGTCGAAGAAGGACGAGGAGCTCGAAAGTTTGGCGAGTCGTAATTTTCAAGTGAAGATCAAGTAAGAACTGAATTTGCTGCCAGTAGTGATCATTCAATTCAATTTCTTGATGTCTCCTTTCCAAGTTGTAAACCTTTTTGGTCAACTGAGGTTTGCTTATAAATTCTAACTCATTGAATTAACACTTTAGTAGTCATGACTTGAATAATGTGTCGTAAAAATAACTTCAAATTCCTTGTCCAGGGAACTTGTACAGCAAAGAAGAGACAGGCAACCCAACTAGTGAACTCAAACAGAGGCTAGCATTGAGAAGTGGTAGTCCCAAGTATGACTTGGCAGTGGTTCTTCCTTCGTGAGTGGTCGCTTCGGGCGTTGGTTCGCCCAGTGGTAGTCCGAAGTAGTGCTGTAACCGAACCGAATTGACTGAATTTTGACTGTCCGAGCTCGTATTCATTTAAATTCGAACAGTGTTCGTGTTCGTTCGTTTATTTTTCGAGCAAAAAATCGTGTTCAAGCTCGTTCATTTAATATGTTCGTCAAAGTTCGAATTCGAATAATTTCGACAAACTTTTTAAATATGTGTAATTAACTTAAAATTTATTTATACGAGCTCGTTCGAACTCAAAAATAAAAAAAATAATAAAATAAAATTATATTAAATTACATAACATAAATTTCAAATTAAGATTTTCAAAAGTAGGCCCAAAAATACGAAGAGCCGACCAATTCTATACGCAGTAGTAGCTTCTGCTGTCGATAATAACACACAACATTACTCATTAATTAAACTTTTTCATTTTTTAATTTCATCGAATAATTTTCATGAATTACAGCGGGAACGCGATTCCCCGTCAATTCTTTTCTAGGACATATATACAACATTCAAAAGAAAATGAAAAGAAACCAATTAACATAGCTATGTACAAATAACCTCAAAATCATCTTTACAATTTTTATCTATATTGTAAAGATGTGGGTTTTTTGTTCTTCTTCTTCTGTCTTCTCCTTCTCTCCCATTATCGAGTTCAAACATACTCAACACCACATGAACCAACATTATGGTGTAAATATGCAGAGATCAAGCATAGGAGTAGAAAGGGGAGTAGTAGGAAGAGTAATTTGCACCTGCTTCATAACCCCCCATCTCATCTTCCCAATCATCATACACGTCGTACATATCTCCCTTCGACTCATTGAGCCCCACCACATTATCGTTCTCGACATCCCTCAAATGACTCATCACAAACTGCAACATAACATCACAAAAAACATTCATTAATCGGGTATACAAAAAACGTTGAATTTTGACCAGATGCATTTGTTTTTCAAACCCAAATTACCGAGCAACCAGGTTTTGCTATGGAGCCACCTGATTGCTCGGCTTATGGAGCCATCTATAGTTATTAACAAATGATGTATTGACACGTATCCCGCATTAAATACACATTAGTCTATAAAGTATGACTGGCTACGTAAGGGAGACATCCGATGACTCCATAAGGTTAAACCATATGGAGGTCAATACATACTCGAGAGGAACAAACACCATCTCATTTTTTCATCTAACTTCATGGTTGGTCCTAGGCCTAGGTTTTCGACCAATAACAACTAAACTCAAAATCAAATGAGAGCTTGAAACATCGAGAAAATTCGAAATGAAGATCATATGATCTAATAAACGATTTAGCTCCACATAAATTACATATCAACTCACGATGCAGCTCTAAAGAATCACAAATGTAGATCGAAGAAATTTGCTTACATCATATGCTTCGTAAATTTGATGAAATTGTTCGCCACAGTTGCCTTCTTTGCAGACATCGGGATGATACTGCGATAATGTAAAATCAAAAAGTCAATTCAACAACTTTAGACATTTATCTTGCAACCCAAGGAAAAAAAAGATGATTCACAATTGAAAATCAAGATTTCTTGATTAGCCCACATAGAATGGAAATAGTCGACAGACGCGGGTAGGAAAAAGATAAGATGGGAATGAACTATCTATATATATATTAAAAGCCAACCTATTTACCAAAAATAGTAGCAAGAAAAGTCAACACACATTTAATGCATATCTTATTTGGAATTTTTTTACAATATGCATTAAATGCTTGCATATTTACATTTATTATCCAGATATGATCTTAAAGATTTTTTCCTTACATAATTTATGCAATGATTTTTACTGATATCCATTATAATTAATATCTGTCGAGTAATATTTTTTTAACCTTTATTTAATTATATAAAACTAATATTTTTTTTTAAAAAAAATAATATTATTTATCATTTAAAAGATAATGATCACATCATTAAATGATTTTATTGATGGTTAGATAATAAAATTATATTAGTTATTCTTTAAAAATT